AACTGGGGTGGAACAGCCCTGGGCTGGCGGCAGGCTCAGGGGGCCAGCCCCAGGCTCCAGATGGTGATGTCAGTTTAGGGAGGGACAGGTTAGGACATGAGAGTGCTAAAGTGCAAAACTGGGTGGCAGGCAGCCCCCATGCTTTAGCAGCCTCATGCCCCCACCATCCCTGGTTACCATTTACATGTGCATTTCATTGCACTTAACTCCGCTGTAAGATGGTACCATCTCTGATAGTCCTGTCTCCTACAATACTATCTTACAGCAGTTAGTTAATTTACTGCATCCTAATACAGGTGCATGTGTGGACAATGACATTTTACTGCAGAGCTAATTACTCAAGTGCACATGTAGTTGCACCTACAGATACATAAACAGCCAAAGTGGGGTTTTTTTTTACTTTCTGATTAACTCTTTACTGAAATTTTCATTAAATGGTCCAAATAAAACAATCTCACAGGACTGGGCAGAGCTATGACAAACTCCCTGAGGGTAATCCTTGGTTTATAATTTCATCATTTATAATTTATAATTTCATAATTTAGTTAACATGTGGCTTTCTCTGACTCAGATTCTACAGAAATGTCCAGGAAGTGAAGCAATACAGTGCTGTAATACCTTCTGTCTTCTAGGATACCAAACTGCATGAGTTTGTCTTAATAGTCCTAGGCATTTTACTGAGCCAAAATCAATTATTTTCCCAGACTGACTTATGACAAAAATATTACATGATGTGACACATGGATATATATCTAAATACAGGAAAAAATTGTATAGTTGTGTGTGGTTTCTGGTTACTTCATTTTCTAAAAAAATACATCTCAGCATAACTTCATAACCCTGTACATTTAAGGGGAAAAGATTTTAGGAAAAATATGGAAGAAATCTCTCTCTCTCTCTTGTTCTGATCCAGTCTTCTGAGATCACAGGCCCCACAGCTACAAAGTATTCCATAATAAAGAAACATCTATGCTACCCCACAATGTGCCTCAAAATCTAGTAGGAGAAACAAAGGGGCTATCAATGCCAATACACTTATGTGCTTACCAGATAGCCTTCGAAGAAATCTTGGTCTCTTTTCAGGTGGGAGATAAAGCCCCACATAATATACAGGAATTCCAGAGAGGGCTATCCCAATTCCAATAAGGGAATTAACTGTATCACTGTAGAGAGGAACCATGATCAGAAAAATGGTGCATAGACAGTATACTATAGGAAAGAAGAGGCTGAGCTGCAAATTAAAAAAGAAAAATCAATGTGAATAAAAATAAAACAATGGAAAATGTATTTGTTTTGTATTTTACATGACTCCACTTGGCTGGCTGCTTGTTAGGGCTGGGCAAAATTTTGACCGCCGTTTTGTTTCGGCAGTGTTTCCAGCATTTCGACACTCAGAACTCTGAATCTGAAATGATAAGGGAGACATGTCAAAACTTTTGAAATGAAATGAAACAACTTGAAACATTTCAAAGATGTTTCAGTGTTTCAAAGCTGGGCTTTCAGGGAAAGAGGAAGTAAGGAGAAGGAGGGGGAAGAGCAGGGAACAGACTGACATCTGTAGCTGGCCAGTGTTTGGCAACTGTCCCTGAGGTCCCTTTGAATCCCAGTGCTCTCAGAGAGGGACATAAAAAGTTTAAAAACAGCATATAAGCCTGTGAGTGTCTAAGATGTCAGCTTTTGTTAGCCTGTCTCTCGCCAGAGAACAGCATCTGAAAGGCACCAAGTCTCACTGCTTTCTAGCTGCTACTGTTTAGCTAAGGAGTATGTCTTCTACTGGCAAAAGATTGGATAGGATACTGCTTACTCTGACAGCTTAGCTATACTAACCTAACTTCAATACCAACATTGTTATCACTATATCATTTCTTTTTTTCCCCTATATCCATTCATTTGAAATTCTTCTCTTTTTTATAACCTGAAGGAAAAGAAATCTGCACTTTGCCTGACAATGTGATCGCTGGACACTGTTCAGGAAAGCACAGCACAGATTAGATAGATTGCATACACAGACCTACATATACACACACTATACACAGTCACACACCTTTTCCAGCACAGGAAAACATGAAGCATGCTGGGAAGGCTGGTGCTGCCAAGTCTGGAAGGGGAGCGAGAGGGGGCAGAGGGAGAGGTGTCAGTTCCCCGCTGCCCAAGATGAGATGCAGCCTCTTTTCAACCAGCCATGTGGCTTCTGCTGGTACTGGGAGCAAAGGGGGTTACAGCAGTGCCTGCAGCTGCACCCCCTCTGACACCAGCTGTGATAATAAACTCCAGCACCAGCAGAATGACAACAAGCAGCACCAGCAGCACAGTCTCCTCCACCCCAGTTGCAGGTCCCAGCACGAGCCTCCCACTCCCAGTCTTAGATGAACTCAAACTTTGAGTAGGGGACATCATTGTGATAGCACAAAAAATTCTGGGGCAGGAGGGGGAGGCAGAGTTTGTGTTCCACACCCCTCAAAGTTCCCCTAGAGCCAAGTCCCCTTCCCTGGAAGGGGCTGCAGAGGAGGCTGTGGGGGCAGCTGGCTCAGCTGTTCCTGTTGTCATGCCTCTGCCTGCTGAGGAAGGGGATAAGGCAGGAGCCCCACCTGCACCCCAAAAGTGAGGGGGTAGTGTGGTCTGGGATCATTTTGAGGTGGCCGATGACCCCACATATGCTACTTGCCTGCACTGCCGAGTTAAAACTAGCCAGGGCAGGGGAGTGAAAGGCATGAGCACCACGGGCATATCCATAGGCACCACCCCAAGGCAACCGAGGTCACCCAGAGCACTGGGGAGATGCTTGCTGTGGATGGCCAGCCCTTTTCCTTTGTTGAGAGGCCAGGGTTCAGGCAGCTCATGGCACTTGTGGCCCCATCATACAAAGTGCCCACACGTACCACCTTCAGCAGGATGGCGGTGCTCTCCCTGTATGAGGCATGCAGGGAGTACTTGAGGGGGGAGCTCTGCAAGGCAGGTCTGCAGGTGGCCTTACACTTCACCTCAGACATCTGGGGCAGCTTGGGTGGTGATCATGCATACCTCACC